CCATTTTCTGTAACGTCAAGTACCCACAGCTTTTATTTACAACCATGGTAATTAAAAGATAATGATGTACCAGCTAGAACAGACACAGCTTGATTTTCATATTCCAGGTCAAGTCTATGACACCTGCCTTCTTACTCATAAACTGAACATGGTGCCATTGAAAAGCAAGGACTTGTTACTAGTAACAGAGTCACATTATTTTAAACAGAAGAGCCAATTTCTAAAGAAAACAGTTCAAAATGGAAAGCAGAACAGGGCCTTCAGTTTGGTGGTTGGCAACATTTTCTGGCAGTGGGCCAGAGCATCCCAGCTCTGGTGTGAGATGTGCAGGTGCCAGGACCTGGCTGCTTGTGGCTGCCAGTTCTCTCTGCTGCCCATCCACACATGGGTGCAATTGAAGGCCCCAGACTCCATGAGCTAGATCCAGTGGCTCCACAGGCTGTAGTTGCTGATCTCTGCTTTAGCTGTATTATTGCCAGCATTTCCATCTGGGCCAGGGGTGTTCAACCTCCTGCCTCTGGGCCAGATCTGGCCCCCAGTGCTGTGTCATCTGACCTCTGGGTCTCCCCATAGATCCCAAAATTTGGCAGCAGGAGAGAAGTGGCACCACTGCCCTGCTGCCATATTTCTGGTCTTTTGGGAACCACCATGGGCTGGACAGCATGGCCCTGCTCACTATATCAGGCACACAGGGCACTGCAAGGCCCAATCCCAGCACGTAGATCCAAGCTGTAGCGGCGCATGGCTTGCAGGGGCTGATCCTAGCACACAGGACCAGCTGGTAACAGCGCAGAGCCCCATTTGGGTGCATGGGGCCAGGCAAAGGCAGTGCAGTGCCCCACTTGGCCTGAGGACCGGGGCCAAAAGGTTGGGCACCACAGCTCTACACATTTGCAATGTGTGAGGCGGAGTCTATCAAGGGCCCAGAGGTCTCTTTGATTGTTCCTTCTGCATCCTGCCTTTACCCAGAGACGAGATCCAGTAAAGAAACAACTACGGTTCCTGGTCGCTTGCCAGCTTAGTTAGGTCTGAACTGACAGCAAACCACGTTTCAGGGCCCGGTTAGCACTGACTCTGCAGGATTCACTCTGGATCAGCCAGAGATGGTGTGGAGAGGCAGGAGGGTCCCACACTGCCCACGTCACCCCAGGCTCTGAGCCGGGGCACCGTGGATCTCCAGCCCAGCAGGTCTCAACCTCTCCAGGTGCAAGGCCCGGGCCCGACGCTGGTGGATTCAGGCCCTCGAGCCCGGTGCCCACAGGAGGGGCCGTCACCCTCTTGCCATCACCCAGGCTGTGGCCGGGGTCCTCAGGCAACTCTACCTGTAGTAACAGTGACACACGCCCCTTGCAGGGGCTTCTGGGAGGGGACCACAGGAGGCTGGGTTGGGCCTAGCTGGAGCCGCCCCCTGCCCCGCCCCCAGCGCTGCTATCACGTGACACCCAGCAGCCCCCGCACAGGTTCTCGAGCTACCCCCTCAGGCGGGGAAGCTCCATTGGCCCCTGCCCGGGAGAGCCAGGAGGGGCCAATCAGTGCCCCCTCAGCCCCGCCGGCGCCACGCGCTGCCCCATCACGTGACTCCCCCTACGCAACTGCTGTGGGGGCGCGGCTACTCACCGGTAGGGTACAGGCCACCCCGGCTGAGAGTGAGGCTCCGTCGCCCGCAGCAGCGCTACCAGCAGCAGCAGCAGCTGCCGCCCCCTTCGGCAGGGCGCCGCCATGGCCGCTGCGTACTGCTCCAGTCCCCTCCCCCCACTCGGGAAGTTTTCCGAGCACCAGCTCCCTCGTGCCCCCGTCATGTGACTCCGCCATCTGCCCAGGTGGCGCGTCACGGAGCTGGCGGTCACGTGACCCGCGCGAGGGCCGGCCCCGCCCCTGCCGCCGTGGGTCTCTGAGAGGCGGCAGCGGTGTCGCGTCGTTGTCTGTGTGCGCGGTAGCTGCCGACCCTGTGCAGCGCGCAGTCCCTGGTAGTCAGCCTGCGTCGCCTGCGCGAGAAAGTGGAGGGGCGTACTGGGTGCAGCATACGCAAAACCCCACGTCACTATCAAGGAGCCTTGACTGACTTCGGGGCTTGTTGGCAGCTCTTTCTTACAGTGCTTGCCTCAAAATAAATGCTTCAACTTTGATGACCCAGGTTTCGCTCACTGGAGAGTTACAGTTAGCAATATAAAGTAAACGAGAAAAAGACTTATTTGCATAATGTTTTGCCTATATTTTAAATGTAGGAAAAAGCATGGGTGACTGGTGCCTCCTGAGTCGGGGTCCCCCCCCTGCGGCGGATCTCGCTAACGGAGGGGGGGCTCCAGGAGAAGTGATCCCCACAGGCCCCCCGTGGCCGATTGTGCCAACCCGGAAGCATAAGTGGGGCACCTGGAAGTGCCAGCAGCACTTTTGGCAGCCCTGCTCCCCAGCCGACTGCCATCTGGCCCCCTGCCTGTTGCCTGAGCAGGGAGCGCTCTCTATTGGGGTGCACTAGCACTCCCAGGGGGTGCACATGCACCCCCTACATGTCACCACTGGGAAATATTATCACCTACTTGCATATTTCCCAGCAACTATGATAATTTTGAGCTTCCAATAGGATAATTTCATATTTAAGACTTGGCAGAGCTGCTTGGAAGTGCTAGGAGAGACGCATATAGCACAAGTGGGCTGAAGCTCAGGGCATCAGGGGAGGTCGGGCAGGAAGCAGAACATGAGAAAGAAAGAAATCCCAATACAGAAGCCCAGGGGAGTGGGTGAAGAGAGGGGCCGCTGTGTCCAGGACAGCCTGGGCATCTTCCTTGTGTGCCCATGGCTTCTTCGAGATGTTGCCCTTGGGGAATGTGTATCAGGCTTCTGAGGCTAAAAACAGACGACTGGTTTGATTTGGCACAACAGCATTTTAGGCTGCACCCAATCTAGACTCGACGTTAGATGTAAGTGCTGTCCTGGGGAGCATCTCCTTAATCTTGTCTCCGTACATGCCCAGCTCCAGTGCACCAAGCTACAGCCACCTTTGGCTGCGCATCTCTCTCCACCTTTGCATTTACGCACTCCCCTCTGCAGCCGCCACAAAGTCCTGGACTTCTCAGTTAACCTCCTGCCGGCCCTAGCCAAGCTACTGATCTATCTGGCCAGGAAGGAGGCTGTGGCTGGAGCATTGGGGCCGGGGGGGAGAGGCGGCCTGAGGATAGCAGGGCTGTTTTCCTGTTCCTTGTCCGTTCATATCTCACTAGGCAAAGCTTCACTGGCTCCTTAGACTTGGAGGGCCAGATGGCACTGTCTGGTGTGCTTGTTTGGTGTGTTCTGCTCAGTATTTCCTCTGGGTGCACTTATTTTGAACTTCTGACCTCACTCCCATCTCTGTTTTGTCTTTTAGTTGTTCCAAGTGATCAGTGATGTGCCCTTAGTGGCCCCCTTCATCAAACGGGGCTCATAGCCCTACTTGCTGGGCTTTGGCCTGCATTCTGGAACAGCACATCAGAATGTCTGTTTCCACACATGCTGACAGTGAGTGCGCCAGTCTGCAGCCCTTTCACCACCTCCTCTAGAAGCTCCTGCTGTGGTTCTGGCTGCCCTCCTCTCACCTTTTCATTTATGCACTACCTTTCCAGAGCCCCACCAAGTCCCAGGACCTTTGATCAGCCTCCTTGTGCGGGCGATGCGTGTCCGGCGCCGTACCCACCTCCTCACACGTCCCAAAAAACTTTTCCTTTCACTACGAGTCACTCCCCCCGGTCTGTACGCGCCTGATCCGCCTGCCACGACTTTGATGTTATTCTGGTTCAGTGATATTACTCAGGCACGTGTCAGTCCAAAAGTGAGACTCCAGGACTCTCGGGGTCCCGCGTCAATGAGGGCTCCGCCACCCCTACACCCTCGCCCGTACCACCGGGTTGGTTGTTTCTCGGGATAGGTGACCCATCAGTAAGTCGCTCCCCATCCACTAGGAAATGTCCGGTCTATACAACCAATTTTCACAGCCAGGGGTTATTTAGAGCAATGGGCTGCCATGCCCTCTGCGCCCCTTTTTATTACCCTGTCTGCTAAGTGCTCAGCACTCCTCACTAGAACCCTCTCTGGGCTCTTCAGTCCTCTCCCGGGCTTCGTGCAGCCTTTTAGTCTTCCCAAACACCGGCCAGCCTCCTCTTCTGCAGAGAGCGCCCCTCTACTACAATCTATACGGCTCCCTGCTCCTGCCGGGTCCAGCCGTTCTCAGCAGCGTCGCACAGCCCGGGTCTTCGCTGGGACCCGTCGACCCAGCTTCCCCGCCCTGTGGGGGCTTGCCCTTACCCCACCAGGTTTGGCAGTGCCTCCGGACTGTTTCGCTCCGCCTGCAGGTACTCCCTCTCGTCGCCGCTGCTACCTGGCTCCCTTCCGGTTCCGCCTCTCCTCTTCGCGACGCCGGCGTCTTTCTTACGTTGGCTCTTGCCGTCCGGGCCTCGCCTCCTTCCCCACACCTGTAGACGGTAAGTGGTTGCCACGCGTTCTGGGCTTGAGGGAGGGAGTTTAGCACTGCTGCGCCGGGGCGGGAAGCCTCGGAGCCGGCCCGCTTCTTCACTCCCTCGCACTCCTCAATATCACTATTGAGTGATCTATCCTCTATTCAGTATCCTCCGGCATCCATTATCACAGGTGTAGAGATTCCAAAGGAAGCATCTCCAACCGTTCTGGTCAATAGCCATTAATAGATCTATTATCCATGAATCTATCCAGTCTCTTTTTGCATCTGGCTATGCTCTCTGCCTTCTGGGGCAATGAATTCCACAGGTTAACTATGTGTTGCATAAATAAAGTACTGCCTCTTGTTAGTTTTAAACCTGTCACCTACTAATGCTCCCTCGTTTTGGTGTTATGAGACTTGGTGAACAAGAGTTCCCCGTTCACTTCGTCCATACCCTTCATGATTCACTTGGTCCACAGCTGTATCCCATCCCCCTTCAGTCTTCTCCCTTCCATACTGAACAGTCCTGGTCTTTTTAGTAAGAAACATGTTAGACACACAAATATGAAAAGCAGTACTTTTGAAAATAACTTGTTGAAGAATAACCTGGAGAAAGACCACTCACTTGGGTGAGGATTGTTGGTTGTCTGGGATTGCCATGTCATTTTCTTATCTGAAACAGCCTTTCCTTGCATGCCTACAGGTTGTTCAAGTTGTTGCTGCTGGGAAATGTGTATCAGGCACTTCTTAAAGCTGGAGTTCCTCCAACAACTGGTTTGATTTCCACCCAGAGCATTTTGGGCCACACCCAATCTACAAACAGCCAAGCTCAATGCCCTGCACTAAGTACCTATGATTTATTTATATTAACACTGACTTGGAACAATTGCAGCTAATTTGATATAATTGCCTTTTAAGCCTCATGTAAACAGCATGATTTGGTGCAAGTCAAGTCATCAACTGAGCCAACAGGCATTTATGCATGTACTTTTTTGGCCTGTGACGCACCAGAGATCCACTGCTTCGGAGCAGTCTTGATTAACTGAGTTTGCTTTGCACATGGGCTGGTGCGAACTGTGCTGCGCTGCATGCAGTTGTATAAGTGGCAAAATGTGAGTCGGTGTGCAGAAAACGACAGTGGTACGCTTTTGAATGAAAACACCGTCTATGTGTTTTAGTTCAAAAGCGCACCGCCGCCATTTTCTCAGCGCTGATGCGCATTTCACCACTTACACAACTGCAGGCATCGCAGCGCCAGGCACTTTGAAAAGCATGTGGTACTGCGGCTCTTCCATGTGTAAAAATGCCCAGTGTATCTGGCACCAAGCCAATAGTCTGCTTTTAGCCAGAGGGAGGATGCATGGTTTAATCCCCACCTAGTGGCAGAACAATATTGGTAAACCTTGTTAGCAGCAAGATTTTGCTGGAATAAGCCTTTTAGCACATATTCCTCCTTCCAGTAGCCAGAAAGCTGCTCATATACCATATACCAATATGAAAGCAGGGTCAAGATGCACCTTATAGACTAACTAAATGAGATATATAAAGAGCACAAATTCTGGTGAACCCAAATTCACTTAATCAGATACTGTGAGAAGACAGTATAAGCAGAGCATAAAGTGGAGTGAGTGATTAGAATACAGTAGGTGGGGAAGCAGGAGGGAGGGGAAGAGGGGAGGGGGAATTCGATAAGAGCTATACAAGTAAAGAACCCGTAGGAATAAAGAAGGTCAAAAAAACTAAGCCAGGTAATGGGATAAAGATCTGTCGTCCCTGTTTAAACTGTGCTTAACACTAATGGCTACTTACACCAATGGCCAGTTTTCAGAAGGGAACTTAGGACCTGTGCAGATTTTCCCTACTAAGGGAGACACACCAGGAATGCAGGGGGTCCAGTTATATCCAGGGTGTTCAGGATTATGCCCCTCAAGCCACCAGAGCACGTGGCAAGGGTGGCTGCAGAGTGCAGGCAGCTCCCACTAGAGATCTATAGATCATTTGCAACAAAGTAGCACAATTTATTGCTACTTTTTATCAGGACCACTGATGTGGTGCAACAGAGGGTAGGGGTGTCTATTTGCTTGCCATTTGTGTCACCATAAAAACTTTTATGGTAGCACAATTGCAAAGTTAAGCAACATCTGTTTCTACCCCCAGTGACAGTGGTCCTGCTGGTAGCAAGACCCACTTATATAATGGCCTGTTTCATCTTCTCTTTCCTCTTTAAGGGAAAACTGGAATGAATTCTTAGAAGAGGGCTGCTGGCAAAGGCTCGGTGATGGCTGGCTTGCCAGAAGGGCCCTCATTGTGACCCTAGCTTTTCCCATTCGGCCCTGTGCAGAAATAGCTGTCTTCAGGCTTCTTGAGCCCAAGTTCAGTGTCTAGTCCTTGGCC